GTCTCCACAGCGACCCTGGGCGCAATGGGCACGCTCCCCTGACCGTTGCGTCTCCCATCCCCGAACTGTTTCATGTCCTGAAGGGCTGGTGTTGAAACGCAGGGCTTTGGCTTTGCAGAAGCGGGGGTCTGGTGTTCGCCCCGGTTTCTTTGTGTGCGTGGCTCCAGGGTCCTCTACGGGACGGGCGGGTCGGGGTCTCTGAGATGCCCACCTGGAGGTGCCCACCTGGAGGTCTTACCGGCGTCTTCCGGAGCCAGGAACTTGGGGCTCCTAATACCGGTTTTTGACGTCTCTTCTAGTCTCTACCCCAAACAACTCCCTCCCCTTATTTTTAATAAACCGAACTATTGATTGAGGGAGAGCAGAGATCTTGGCACAAACCTTAATGAAAAGTTCTTGGAAACGGCCCAGTGTTCCAGAAGCAGTTTGAAAATAACTGATTTTCTGGTTGCTACTAAGTAGACGGACATGGTGGCCCCTGCAAACGCAGCGAACCCCCCTTCCCACCCCCAACCACGGTGGGGTCCCTGCCCCAGACCCCAGTTCCCTGAGTGTGAACCAGGGATGCATTCAGCTGTCCGCAGTTGAACTGAGAAATGCTCAGACTTCAGCAGGTGGAGGGCTTTTAATACATTCCTGTTGTCATAATGCTCCTCAACTAGGGTATAGAGATTTTTTTCAAAATCTGCGTGCAGGTAGATGCCTCCTCCATCAATTTTACCACTCTGGATAGTACCACAAAATCGTAACATTAAATCCCATGTAAAGTCCGTGCTTATTTTATAAAGTGCTTTGTAGTGTGGACCCAGCTATTGCAGGTGGTCATTGCACCTGGAGGATGTGCTGGTGGTCACTGGAAGCAGATGCCTGCGTGAGGGAGCAGAGACGCCCGAGTGACAGAATTTATAAAATGCTGCTTTGAATTTTGAAACGATGCCCTCCCATGGCCAGGAATTGTACATCGGCTTGAGGCGCTCTTGCAACAAGTCTTGTTTGTAATCACTGTGATTATAGTGGAAGAATTGCAGTGGATTTATCATTCTGCAGAATTAACCCAGCTGATGAGTTATTGGCAGTCACTTCAGTTTTTTAAAAAGATACCAACTGCAGGGCCTCCAACAAATGCTCTCCGTGTGCGGACTGCTGATTCCCTTGAGCGCCGGCTCCGGAGGGCCCAGCGGGTGGCTCTGTTTGCCAGTTTGCTGCAGGATGGTTGTGCTTCTTTGTAACAAGAGCCTTGCTTGTATGGTACGACCTGTGTGACTTGTATCCATCTGTAACGAAGTTTTGTCAGCTTTGGAGGCCGAATGTTAGAATAACAACTCAGAACATGCTAAGAACTAGGATAACTTTGTTTTCAGAAATAATGTGCTCAGTGTGCCCCGTTGAACTCCAGTGGGTGGGAAGGTTCAGATTCCTACTTATTTTAAATGAATCTGTTAAGTATTCTGTTCACACACCTGTCTTTAAAACACGAACAGTTGCAGCATACACTCACGGCTTAAATATCTGGTGGAAAATGGCCCTATGTGCTGACGCCCTGTGAGCCTTTCACGGCTGTTCATGTTTACTTAGGCGACTGGGGTGTGGACAGCCATGCAGGATTGTTCATTTTCTCATTAGTGACTATCCATGATATCACTGAATTTGCATAATCATGCAATCATTTCAGTTAAGGAAGACAACTTAGTGCTCTAATTAGAAAAATGACACAAAGTTTTAAACCCATTATATTTCTAGTGATAAATATTTTTTTCCTAAAGTAAAAAAAATACGACACATTGTTTATAATGACTGCTGGTTTTA